TATTGACAAATATGTCACTGTTGTGGTACCAGCAGTTTATTTCCTCGGACCCTCTGAATGTTGCTTGTGACTTTGCTCTCTCCTTTTGAACTGAATCACCCTCTGTCTATATTATCTGTATTTAAAATGCGCTTCTCCAATGCTATATGTTCAAACGAACATGTAACATGAAAGAATGCAGCAGTTTGACTGACATATGTGTAATATGAACAGGTTCTCTCTGATGTGACAGATACTGCCTCTCCCATGTGAGGAGGTTGAGGAGTTTCTCTGTGGATTATCTTCTTATTATAAGATGTTGACACATCCTTTTGATTATTTGTTTACTCCCTCCACATAACAGAAACCAGGATGAAATTCCACACTCACATGACACAACTGTACGCATGACTGACTAATTAACTCACTCAGTGGAGCTTATCTGTGCAGATGAGTCCAGGGCTGGGCTCACGTTGCCTGTCTGCCGCAGCGCGCTCTTCTGATCACACAGGAATTTTCCTCAGTGGTCAACATGACTATTTTGAAGTTGTTATGTTGGTATGCAAAATGAATGCTGTGTTCTCAGTGGCTTTTTCCTTTATTTTACACCCATAAAACAAGATATGTAAAGTATGCATACACACACACATATAAACACAGACACACAGTTCTGCATTCAAAGCAGCCTCCAGAGAGATTTCATCCTACTCAAACAACTCCAAGCAAAGTCCTCGCAGTCGTCTTCCTACCACACACATAATCAACGTTGACACAGGAGCCTCCTGGGCATTTAAGACACTGGCCCTTGGGTTCTGAACAATGCTAAATTACAGACATGTGGAGAGAGGTTAAGGGCCTAAAAACCTGACTACTCCCCGATGATAAACTCCTCAGCCTCCTCAAAACGAAAAACCCATTACATACCCGCAACGCCTCGTCGCCTCTCTCCGCAGCGCAAGGCATAAAAGCAGAAAAGATAAAACGGAAACGTTAAATAGGAAAAACACGAGGACCCCCCCCCCCCCCCCACTCCCATCCCCTCCAATCGAGAAGAGAAGCGAGTGATGGAAGCTTCACAATTGTTTTCTCTTTTTGTTTCCTGCTTTTTCCCTGATAAACAGTCGAGGGCTGAGCTCCAGCGCTGTGCAGATTTTTTCATTTTCTGCTGCTGCCTCATAAACAGAGAGCTGTGAGAGACAATGTGGTTAGAAATGATGAATATATAACCAGTGGCTTTAATATCTTTAATACTTGCTGTGGATGTGGCAGAGAGGAGAACGGTGTATTAGACAATGATGAAAAAGAAGAAAAAAGAAGGCAAATGTTTCTCAGCTCTGAGGTTTTGTGCTCCATTAGGGTTTTCTTTACTGTAGATTTTAGTCACGTTGCTTCTTTCAGGACTAACAAGGCAGTGTTCTACAGTTATGGCCTCATTGTTCCAAGCTGAATGTCACATATTGGAGTCACCACAATGACAGAAGAGCTGCAATCCTGTGTTGCACTGATGTGCAACACAGATGTCCAGTAAACACCATAAAGCCCGACAGGAAGAGTCTGACATGTTGGGAAATACGTGTATGCACTGTCTTGTACATGTGAAGATCGATACCACTCTGTATGATAAATATGAAGCTACATATTTATACTGCAGCTTTTATTTACTTGGTACAAAAATTGAAGTGTTCAGACTGAACAAACAAGATATATCATGTATAAATATCTGTGAGGTTTAAAGGTTCCTGTGAACAAATGTTGTGACCTCTGAACAAACCAGCAGCTGGTGCACAAAGATAGACTTTGATTATGTCTTATACAAATAGTCAGACTTCAGATAGACTGTCAAATGTGATCTTACTTAAAAACATCTAGGAAAACGATTGCCTTGAAAAAACTAAGTAAATACAAATATTAGTTTCAAGTTATGTTGACTTTATATCCACCTGTTAAGTTTACCTCAAATTTTGTGTCTTTACTTTGTTTTATGAAGTTGTTCCAAAACGGCAACTAAAGTTAACTTGCTCTTTTTAAGTGTAGCCTAAATTCATCTGTTGCACAGAGCAGTTTAGTTCTTGACTTGTTGTACAATGAATTCTGGGTAAATTAAGACCTTTTTCAATATTAAAAAAAAATGGCTCACCGGTCAGCTCAGTAGCTGAATGTGTTGGTCTTTTGGAAGAATTCAACAGTGACAAGGATGTTTACTTGAAGAGTGAAACAATACAAAGAAAAATATGATTTGGAAAAAAATGGCTTCCTGTTTTTTGTTGTTGGGTTCTAGTCAGCGCAGGTATCATTGACTGTTACCATGGTAACATTTGTTTTTCATTTCATTTCTATATACCTGCATCTGGCTGTTTTCTGTTTTGAATGGCAATGAATATTCAGTTCATTCATCCATAACGAGGAGATTACTGTGATCCCCTTCCTGATCAACTGACACAGCCACATGAGGAGTTGTGAGGCCTGAGGGCCGACTGTTAAACAAACAATACTTCAATTCTAACGAAAAAAAGAAACTAAAATACTTTCTAGTCTCACTATAAGGGAGCTCTTCTGAGAGCTCGACACCTCAGACCTTGTTGTGAGGTTTTCATCTCAAATTCAACCTTTTTCTAAAGCGAAGACAAACCCCAGTGAACTGGTGTCGATGCTAAAATAAAGCCAAGAATCTGAGCACCCTAATCTAGACTTGGCCAAGACGTTTGGCGAGCTGGGTGCTTGGCTGTCACAGCTACAATCTTGCCTGTTGCTTGAAACCCTGGCCTGCAGACGCTCTGGCTGAACACAGGGAGCTGTGGTGGCCAGCTGATGGGCTATATGAGCTGATTTGGTGGCTGACTGACTGGTATTAGCCAGATATAGTGGAGGGGATGTGTGTCTGGCGCTGGCTCTGTCTTTGCCTGGCTGTATTTTGGAAGGTTCTCCTCCTGACTCACTGGCAGCCTGGCTGGTTATCCAGGCTGGTTGCCTGGATATATTGGCCGACAAAACAACAAGACTGACTCACCAGCTTAGTGACTGTTTGACACTGTACTGGTTCTGTGTCAGAGAGCAGCCATCATCCCACTGATATGATTCTTAATTCTCTGTCTCAATATTACATCACCCACCCCACACACAGCACCCACCCTGGGCCACCTACATACAGCAGACACACCTTTGCAACTCTGTGTCTTCTGTACTCACTGTGTTGTGAGACTCATTAATCTCTTGTGTTGTACAATACATGGCCAAGACTATGTGGACATCACCGTCCACTTCCTGTGGTCTGAGGCTGTTTGTCATTGTTTGGGCTCGACCTGCTTTCAATTAACAAATGTCTGTGAAAACATAATGATGGGTTATCTGGGAGTAGGTATATATATGTACTTATCTGGGAGACTATAGAAGGCAAGGAAATGAGATGCAAGAAAGACAAGGAGTGGACTAGAACCAGTAGCCTGTTTCACACAAGTATTTATGAGCACTGCTCTCACATAGACCTGCCAGAGTTTCACATAGATTTGCAAGCGTTATCATTCTGTTGCTCATGAGGCTTGGCGAAAGTTCAGTCAGGAAGACTGTTGTGGCTTCTAGACTGAAACCCATTATTTCCAATGGCTTGCACCGCACTACTGTCAAAGTTCAGTTTAGTTTAACTTTGACCACTGTGCGCTATGACGAACACGCACGAGGCCAATAGAAACGAGGCATCCAACCAGGCACGGAAAATACACAGAAAGTAGACCTGAAACCGGTCGCTGTGGAAACGGAGCTCCTTCCCCAGCCTCTTCCTTGCTGCTCCCCTCCTTCTTCTTGTTAGAGGGGCTAGTGCTAACACTTGTTTCTTAGCACTGGAAAGATACATCTTTGTTGCTGGCAACAACAGACTAAACACAGCGAGAGCTTCCAGCTTCAAAGTGATGTGTCCAACCACAACTTTGAAAAACTCTGCCTATGTTTGCTCTGACCTCTGCAACAGATCCTGTCTTGTCTGAAAGCCCCACGTCTCTTTGCACCTGCCTTCTACGTCACAAGCACCGTTTCCCGCTCTCTCTAAGCTCCACCCGCTCATTCTCATCTTCATCCAATCACAACCTGACATGGTGTCCTTCAGCCAATCACCTGTAAGCTATCAAACTCTTTGATGTCATTCAGCATCACCCTACACCACCTCTACTGTTGAGCCTGACCATCTCTAATCAAACCATCCAATCAGAGGTTTCCCTCTCATGAAGACGTTCCATCCTCGAGCTCCACTCCTCATCACCATCATCACCACAACCAGTGTCTCGTCTCCGGGAGAAGATTCCTCTAATTGGAAGGACCTTAAACCTACGGATCGTTTCCATGGTGATCCACTTCCTGTTGGGGTCTAAGCACCAAAGTCTATTCCTTCTGTTCACAATAAATTTAATTTTACTTAAATTTCTCTTGTTCCTCTTATGAGTCTCTCCTGAATGAAAGTATTGTGTTTCTTTTGATTAGTTAAATGAATGTTGTAAGACCGTTAGCCCACCCACACTTCCCATTGGTCTCTGGGCATCTTCACACTCATGACAGCAGTGACTGACATTGTCAAAAGTTTTGACAAATTCCTCCATAAGAAATGGACTGTGCCACCTTCAGGATGAACTGGAACACCGACATGAGCCAGACCTTATCACCCAACATCAGTGTACGACCTCAAGAATGTGAGACAATCCCTGCAGCAACATTCCAAAAATCTTATTACATGTTGTGTAATATTTGTGTCTCCATATACTGTATGTTTTAACATCTAGTACATTTTTCTAGATAGAAAATGAAAGCTCTGGATTGTTGGTGTCTTATTTCAAATCTTACTAAAGTTGTGCTTCTGAAAACATAGATCATACTGTCAGTGCTTCTAAACTGAGATAAATAATATCTTACATAAGTAAATATAAACTCTGTCACTCTCAGGTTATTGTAATAATAATAACAATAATAATATAATTATAATTATATTCAGTCATTGTGTATGAAAGCAGAGCAACAAAGCAATACAGACAGACAGCGCGTCCATAGGAAAAACATTTTATTGAAAAACATTTTCAGTTTGTAACAGACTGGTGGAATGTGTGTCATTTATCCTCACTTTGAACTTGTTTGAAATTTTTAAAGTTAAAACCATTTTTCACAGCCTGGCCATCTCATACTGCAAGGAAGGGAAGAAGAGGGCTACAGCCACCCAGTAACCATGACGTAACTAAAGAAAACCAGGTGTAGACGAACAAACAATGCAAATATAATACTGTGTTACTTACAAACTGGACTGAAATTAAATCATAAACAGAACAAAGAAGAAAAAAAAGAAACTAATTCAATAAATATTTATGGTACACACTTATGGCACAAATATGCAGCAGTCGGTTTGGCAACTTTTCTCTCATTTTTTTTTTTTTAAACCAAATTACCATGGAAACAGTGCAAAAGGGGAGGGAGTGGGGAGGACATGGGCTTTCCATCGCGCGCTAGCTAAAATACATAGCAAAAAATTCAAATTTTATACAAAACATCTTACTTTAAGAGTTTATAAAAAAATGTTTTTATTGGGTTGTGGTCAATATGTACATCAGCTATTTACCAAAAAAGTAGTATGCTCTGTTTTACTGAAGTGTATTCTGTTTTTTCTGGACTTTTTTTCCCATTTACTTCCCTAAAAAGGTGAATAAGGCTATTGTAACAACCCAGGATCCATATACAATACAAACATTAATGTATTTACAGTTTCTTACCTACAGAAGTACGGTGCAAAATTACTGTGTCAAGTGACCAAGGGCTGACCATACGAGCAAGGCATTTACAGTAGCCTGAGGTGCTTCTCCTAGCCCGTGTGCTAAGACTCCCACAGCATTGCTATGACGTTTCATAACAGGTTGAACCAGTCCTGGTCACTGTTGGGAGAGCGTTAGTCGAGTGGCTGCTAAGAAAAGGACGTCAGATTCAAAGAAACTAATAAGATTGTCATTTTCTGCCGCAGACAGACAGCAACTAAACAGACATTTCTTTGTTGTATAAGTGTGTCTCTTTTCACCTTTTCTTAAATACCTGTTCAGGTGTGGTATACGTATATATGATTTGTAATGGTTTCATTTTTCACAGTTTACCTTTGTACTACGGCACATAGTTCAAAAAGAAAAGGTTCAAATAATACTACAAATAATGCAGGAAAGAAAAACTAACAGCAGGCTTGTGTGAAGTACTTTGCTAGTTTTGTGTCATTTGTTTGTTGTTACGTCTTTCAGTGGTTAAGAACACTTTCCATAGGTGTTTTTTTTCTCATAATTGATTAAAAAAATAAATAAGAATTGCATATTTGCAGATTTTGTAGCCTCTTGGAGGCACAAACCTCAGATCATACAAGGCTTGGCTTTTCGGTGAAATTTGATGTTCTTCATGAACACATGACGTTGATGATGGCCTGATAAATGCACGTGACCGGCCTCAGTCACAATCGTGATCCTAAGCCAAAGATATTAATGAATGTGAAATCACTGAAATATAGTCTTGCTCAACACACACGCGCGCGCACACACACACGCGTACACACACATGCACAGAGAATATGAAAGGTGTGTATGAGGAGAATTGGGGGCACTGGGTGTTCATGGGAAATATCCTTTGGGAGATGCTACACAGAGTGAGTGTGGGAGACACAGCTACTCTGCCCTTGTGTACACCAATGTGAGCTATTTTGGGTCAGATAACTCTACTCCCCTGGGGGGCCGGGGGGGGGCCCAGGTCGCCCTCCCTTGGTCCTCCTTCCCAGGACCGAGCCCTGTGTCTGTGGACGACAGCTCATGAAATATGGTATCAGTGGGTTGAGAGATATCAAATAATCATAAACCTAGATTGCATAATGTGCACTTATACCATAATATATTAACATTACTTCTTCTTCTTCCTCTCCATACCGCCTGACAACACCTGTGCTCTATGTGTCTATCATAAATAAATTCTGCTTTTTATTTTTTTATTTTTTTTATTTTTCATCTTTGCAATGTCCTTTTTTTTAAATGTACATCTATTTTGTAACAAAAAAAAGAAGTAAATCAAAACCTCACAATATGGAAATGCTAATGGAGACTGAGAAACAGTGAAAATGTAAGTAATGTCCCTGTGCTTTTTTTTTTTTTTTTTTAACGAGAATAGGAGAGCACCAGTCACACTGATTTTGGGCAACCTTAATCATCAATGGACTCCTACATTACAGTACCTGGAGCTGTTTCAGCCAGCTGCGCTAACCTCGACTAGACCTCGGGCCTCTTCTTCACCTGATGCAAAACAATGGCAGTAAGGCGAATTGGATTTTTTTATTGCCCCTAACACTTTCCTGTGTGAAAAGCTCAGGTTCCAGAGACATTGAGGTGAGCTCTTTGCTACTAAATCTGACAGGATACAGCTGCTCTCCCATCTCCAGCTATGACTGTGTCCCATATGGATCGCTGCGAGGAGTGGAGGTACCAAGAAGGGGTTAAAAGTGCTGCTCTATGTTTATGAAAGTCCTCCACTCTTCCCAGGAGCCACCTGGACAGACGGTTTTTGCGCCCTCTCAGGGGGGTAGGGTGCAAAATTACAAAAGTCTTCACTCCCTCTTTTCACGGTCTCGCCACTGTTGGGTAACTCGTGTTTGAACATCACACATGACATGTCACTAAAGGAAAAGAAAACCACGTATGAAAACCAGATATGACCAAAAACAAGATAAAAGGTAAATGTTGACAGTTAAAAAAAAAACTGTTTTTCTGTCTTTAAAACCTTCAAGTAACATCACAAGTTTTCAGCCGGGCGCAGACAGCGGTCGGCTGAAAACATCTGGGAATGAGGAGAAATGGTGCGATCCACACTTCAACCCAAAGCGTTCACATTGACCGGCGAGACAGTGTGTGTCTGCACGTGTGGGTGAATGTGTGTGCATGTGATGGTGAGCATGTGGGTGGCAGGGTGAATGGGTGATCTCAGAGAGTCAGTCAGGAGAGTCCCGGAGAGGACTGGTGTGAGAATCTCTCTCCTTCTTCCTCGTCCGGCGGGTAAATCCACAGAGTCTCTCTGGTTAGTGAGCATCAAGGGAGGGCAGCCATTTTGTGAGTTCATGGTTAGCCCATTTCCTCCTTTACCTCTCCTCCTCACTCATTTTTTGTCCCTTTCCCTCTCTTTTTCCAAGCAGTAGTCTCTCTTTAAGGTGAGGTCAAAAATTTCCTTTTCCTCCTTTCGCCCCAGGAAACCTTCACATCCATACGTCCGTTTGTCCTTCCCAAAGAAACAACACGCTGTGCATCTGTCAAACTTTCGGATTCAACAACACTCAGTTTTCCCCAAAAAACAGGCAGCGACACCGGGGAAAGAAGAGATTGTTCTCTCCACTTCCCAGAACTCCCAGAGAGCAGCAGCAGTGACAGCAGCAGGCTTCCCTCTGGCCCTGCACTCAACCCATCCGCGCCAACTGTGACCACATCAGACGGCAAGGTATCAAAGACAAGAATAGTGACAAAACAGCAGAGAAGAGGAGGAGGAGTTGACAGAGTGAGAGAGACAGAGAGAGAGAAAGAGAGTGTTTGTTTGCGGGCGTGCCGGCGGTGCCAGAACCAGAAACCTGCTCTGCCCGGGGACTGTTCCAGTTTGTCTCCCGCCTCCCCCTCAGACTTTGTAATAGATGTTGGCCGGGCTCTGAGGCGGCATCTCCTGAACTATGTAGACCGGGTGGCCGTAATCGCCGCTGACCTTCTCGTAGTGCGGGCAGAAGACGCTGTCAGCAGTCCTGAGCGGGATGATGATGTCGCTGGGCTCCGAGCCGTTATTGTTCCCGCCGCCTCCGCTCCGCTTGGGCGTGGCCAGGGTGCTTAGAGACAGCGTGGCGGCGTGCTGCGGCGAGTGCTTGCGGTGCCGCCGTCGGTACTTGAGCAGCAGCAGGACCAGCATGATGATGATGATGATGAAAATGACACTGCCTGAGGCGATGCCGACGAAGATGGCCACGTCAGAGCCGATGATGCTGGAGGACTTTCCACCGTTGTTGTTGTCGTTGCTTTCTCTCGGTGCTACATCTGAAAGACAGAGGGAAGAAGGAGTGAGTGAAATGATGAAACAGCAGGTTTATTCTATTTTTTTCTATTCTATCTGTGGTCTGACTGAAAGCAGATGTTTACAGCTGTGACGAACACATTCGAAGGCGAGGTGAGGAGCAAGCCAATCCCCTTCTGACTATGGAGAGTTGTTGGGGGTTAAAAGAGAGAAAAAATTTTTTATATTCTTCATCATCTTTTCGTCATGTCACAGTGAAGGTGTGGAGAACAGGCCGGCTTCACACTGAGTGAAGCCGGCCTGTTCTCGGCCTATAGCAGCCTTTTGTATGAAGTACCATTATTCAAATTCAGCTGGTTGAGACTGCAACCTTGAAACTAGGGCGAGCGCAGCCTGATAGGACAGAGAGCAGCTTGGGAGATTCAGGCAAATGGCACTTTGATAAAATGCATTTTGAAAGACAAAGAAAAAGTTTATTTTCTAAATAACGTCCCCATATGGAGGAAACTAAGAGAGAAATATTTGATGTTATCATGAGACATCAATTATGAAAGCCAAGCTGTGGGGGCGGTTGTTTTTCTGTTCTCCCCAGGATGGGAGCATGTTCCCTGTGTCTCTGTGTCCCTGTCTGCTGCTCAGCCCAAAAGCAAGGACCCTTCCATTGTTTAACAAGGGGATTATGCTGCCTCAGACACTCTGGCCGTAGCACCTATATGCTCCTGCTCGCGGCCCAGATGGATGACACATAAAAAAGAACAGGAAAACAAAGAAAACAAAATGCTGATGTCTGCAAAAAAAACCTGTGCCAGCATGATTTAAAGAGCAGCGTGCTCCTCGTCAGATTTGGGAGTGAAAGCACAAAGTGTCAGGCGAGGCCACACCCACAGTGAAGCAGGACACAGGGGGAAGGAGCAGAGGACTGTTTATATAGGTCAGTTTGTTTTTGTTCTCAGGCCCTTCCTGTTTCTTTTTTCTGCACACAGCTCATTGCGGAAATTGCCTGATTCAGATTTTCTTCTTGGGAGATTTTTAACTGCAGTGTAATGGCAGAGATAAGGGCGGCGTGCACGTAGTTGCGTGTCTGTCTGTGTTGTGATTTGGCACAGGAACAAGTGTGTGTCATTAAAAAGATGGCAGACTGAGATCAGATCATTTTCCTGAAAATGTCACTTAAGAGGTGGGTTCAGTCTGGAATGGGGCCAGTGTGGAGATACCTTATAGTAAGTCCTTGAGAGGCCAGAGATGCTTATCAGTTTTATGGGCAACATTCAATTACTGGCTGATGAATCTCTGACCTTTCTTTCCTTCGCTTTCACACACACACACACACACACACACCTCAGTGTCTCTTGCAGCCACACACACCCTCACTCCACGCAATCTGCTCTTGGCCGGCTGAATGGTCGTGCGCCCAAATGCCAAATTATTTCGATAAATCCTCCACTCAATTACCACCATCCCCGGATTTCAGCTCAGAGTCTGTGATCTCACCTGGCTTCTCCAGCACGTCATTTTGGTTGTAGTTTTCCTTGCCGTCTGAGTGCTTGGGAGAGTAGGGCACTCTGGTGGGGTTGTCTTTGGGTGAAATAGGGTCAGAGGGATCTGGAAGAACGCAGGTAAGACACAGGAATTAATGGGCAATTCTTTTTCACAGCAGTGTGTGTGTGTGTGTGTGTGTGTGTGTGTGTGTGTGTGTGTGTGTGTGTGTGTGTGTGTGTGTGTGTGTGTGTGTGTTGTTTCATGTTAAGCAATAGCTTCAAATTTTTTCAGGTCAACCAGGTAGGCCTGTTCATCCTGGTTTTCGTGTTGTTTTGTCAGACAGAAGGAATTTTATATGAAAAACAAACTAAAACTTGTCCAACAATTGTCATTTTGGAAGATATTCAACAGGTCTAACTCATAATTCATCTCACTTTTTGAGCCTCATGTTGACTTCAGCTGAACCTTTCATGCATTCTTGCATCAAACTAGGATTTTGTCCTTCAGCCTGGCTTTTAATTAAATATGTTTTTTAGTAATTAGTCACTCTATTTTGTTCAGTTACTTTAATGTAATTATGTTCTAAATTGTATTTAATTCTATTTTATCTGTTCGTTTGTTTTTGTTTGCTAATGTTATCATAGCTTTTTGAATCTATTTTATTGCATCTCACTGTCAGCTTTCTTACTTGATTGTCCTTTTTGATTGATTGAAGTTTGAACAGCACAAGTGACTCTTGACTTCACAGCTAGTATGGACAGGAGGAACAATAAGAGCATGTGTACGGGCATGTGAGTATTGTACTAAGACAGGCTTGGCAGAATTCTTTGAGCTATCATTGATCAATTCATACACTCTTCAATTTTAAATCTGTCCTCTGATCACCGAAAATGTGTCTCAGAAGACAATTTGGAAAATCTCTTGAACCTCTAAATGCTTCAGCCGTGCACCAAGCAACTCATCACGCAGCCAAACCTTCTTTGACTTGTTCAACTGGATCCATGTAAAACAAACTGGCTCTTCATGACTCAGATATTATTGTAATCAACCATAAAGAGTGGCTAATGATTGGTGTTGGTTCTGCAGTGGCTCCATATGGTTGTAAAAGCTGCTGAGATGTATGTCAGTGCAGAACAAAACAATCACTGAGCATCTGCTCTTCTTATCACTAGTGCTCTCAGGCTGTGCACTGTGAAGCTCAACCGTACTAGAACCACACTTGATTGTGCACTTCATATAATAAATCCACTGGTTTATAAGCAACTCATACCAATACTGGGACTGATAGTCAGTGCCATTAATCAGCAGAACCAATTTCCAGCCTGTTCAGCACCTGTTCTTTTACAGCAGCTTCCATTCAGTCCCATTCTCAGTAGCACTGATGCTGGTGTTGACAAGAGGGCCGAGCCCAGGACATTACCAATCTGAGTGGCAACTGATTTATAATTATGGGTATAATTGTGACTGTGTGATCGAGTCTACAGTGTCACACATGCAGGATCATGGATCCTGAGCTTTATGTGTTTCTGTTCATCTGAATTGGACTTGCATGTGTGAAAAGTCTTCTAGCTGAAAGAGCATATATCAGCAGATATTTCCTGTGTGTGTGTGTGTGTGCGTGCAAGCAGATACAGCTGTGTTTGAGGGAAGTGTGTGTGTGTGTGTGTGTGTGTGTGTGTGTGTGTGTGTGTGTGTGTGTGTGTGTGTGTGTGTGTGTGTGTGTGTGTGTGTGTGTGTGTGTGTGTGTGTGTGTGCGCATGTTTCAGTGCATTAGGCTTCCGCTAGATTAAATCTGCTGCCCCCTCACAGCCCCAGGTGTCATGGAGACGATGGAGCTGTATTGTGCAAAGTCTCCTATGACCTTATTAAGGTATTTTCAGAGTCTCACACAATTTTGCACAAAGTATAAGCTGCATTGTGGCCGTCTGCTCACATTAAAACAATACTCACTTTGTCCCACTTTCATGATGATTTTCATGGACTTGGTTTTGCACACTCCCCCCTCCTGGTTGTCGATGCCCTCCATGGTGCCGTTCGAAGTAGCTACAGCAGAAAAGAGAGAGAGGGACGAGGTTAGAATAACTGTCACCAGCCCCTTATATACCTCGCCATTCTGTATAAAGGGAATGGGGGGGGGGGGGCATTGTTGTTCCGCTTTTGCCAGCAGCAGAGGTAGTCATGGCGGGACAGACGCCAACACTGTTGTGTTTCACGTCACACCTCTGATTCCATCGTCTAAAAACACACGGGGGTGGAGATCCGCTGGCTTTGTTTGGTTCAGTGTAAACAAGCAAAGGCACAATGATGAGGGGTCTGCTTAACAGCAATGTAGCGGGATCGCTGTTTGAAAGCGACTGCTGTGGTACAAAAAAGATGTGATGGAGAAATTGTGCTGCCATACATCCCTGAAGCCTATCTCAGAAAAACAGGCAGTTCCCAAAGACAACAGAGGCAGTGAAAGCCCTCCACTGAGGAAGGAAATGACTCATACGCTTTAATAAATTCACAATTCACCCGTTCATCCCGTCAGTCGTTCCACTCCAGCAGAATATTTCACATCCCCAAAGTCAATTAGCTTGAGTAATTGTGACTGTAATATCTCTAACTGTGCTGATGGGCCTCATGAAGGAGGCAGTTAAGGGGAGTGAGGAGAGGGGAGAGACTGAGCGGAGGAGACGACGATGGCTACGATGACAGTGGCCATCTTGGTAAACTGCTAACGACGCTACAGAGAGTGGTAGCCAGTTATGAAAGATTTTAAAAGCCCTGAAATACTCAGATCTAAAAGCCAAATCAGCATCACCATGAGAACATTCAGGGATGTAAACAGGAGAAATGGTTTCAAAAGAAATGGGCACCTTTCCAGGAGACGCAGAGGAATTATGGGAACAGAGGGAGGTGATAAATTCCTCGATAGTCCTGAGATGAAAAGAGCTTAAAGGATCTAAAAAATGTTCAAACAGGAGAAAACAGGCATGCACCACTCAACACTGTGTGTGAGGGACAGCAGCAGATCTGGTGGTGGTGGTGAGGGGGGGTTGGGGGGGGGGCGTCCCACATGAGGAAGGAGGAAATAAATAGGCTCTACGAGCAGATTTTAAAAATGGAAACTGGCCTTTTGATAAAATAAATGTCTGTTTGTGTCACACTCATACAGATGTGGCCCACACACACAGAGCAGGCCGCCCTGCCAGCGCTCCATCAGCTGGATGTTTTCAAGCCCATTAGCTGCTCCTCCGCCTCTGTGCCTGTCTGCTTTTATCTGTGCTGCCCCTGGAGGCTGCGGGGCAGAACTGCAGCGAGCTCAGATCATGAGTGGGACAGGGAACAGGCGAGGAGGGAGGGAGGGAGGGAGATGGGAGGAGGGGGTAGTAGGGCTTGTGGTCTATCAGGTCGGTAACACAGAGGCTAACGAGCTGCCAGGGCTTAGCGGCTTGGCTTCCCGCCAGTGCACAGTGGCCCACATTCACTATGACTGCTCCCACCACACCGACTCCCCTCCCCTTCGCTTCCCCTTCAGCCTCCTCTTCCCCCTCTCTGAACAACACCCCATCATCCCCAGTTTCCTCCTCTCTAGGATGGCCACCTCGTGGCCACCACCTTCTTCCCTAAAATCCTTTGCCCCTGAACAAACTTACACCCCTCCCACACTCGTCCTGCACCTGAAGCTTTTCCATCACCTCCAGATCCCGATTCGAACAGCTTTGAAAAATGAAGCTCTGTATGGTTTGCCACTTTCTCTTTCTCCTCCTTTTTTTTTCTTCCTTTTCCTCCCTCTAAGCCACCAATCATTTTGATACGAACCCCCCCCCAGCTTCAATAAGACGGTGATGGGAGTGGACACAAAGAGCATGTTAACAAGGACTTCCTGCTACCCTCCCTCCTTCTCACCCTCCATCTCGCCTCCTCTCCCCCTGTCTCTTTCTCTCGCTGACCTATGGCAGTGGGGACTGAAAAGCACATTATAGACAAAGCTCCTTAAAGGCTTGTGCTCCTGTGCGTGTGTGTGTACGCAGATGTGCGTGCATGTGTTCATTTCATAAACCTGTTAGCGAATCACACGTGAATTTTACAATCCTGTGGGACATTATTAACCATCTTAACATGTTTACTTTGCTGAGTGATCGGCATGGTGACGGTGTGTTTGAATGTTGAGGTGCATGCACGCTCAAATGCTCTTGTGCTTGAGAGGTCTCGTGAACTCTGACCTCCACAGAAGGTGTATTTGGGTGTCATATGGTGCACGCATCACCACTTGTGTCGCCTCCTCTTCTTCCCCTCTTTCCCTTTGCCCTATTAAACCATTTAACACATCCACACCGATCCAGACTGAAGATTAAAAAAAGAATCATTCTTCTTGTCACGCCTCAAAAAACAGATCTGCTTCAAACTCGCCTGTAATATTTCCCTGACATTTAAAATACATCAGGAAAAATACTTCAATCTGGACTCAGTTTAAATGTTTAAATTCTCTTCCACTTTAAATGCAGAGCAAAACACACACTCTCTATGCCAAGGCTGCAGTCCAGGCAAGCCTGACTTGGATTTAAACAGAATTTGATTGTCAAATCTGCTAAGGCTGGCTGAATGACTTGGCCCTCCTTGGCCCAGCCAGACAAGGCCAGGCTGGACTGGCTGACAGACTAGCTGGCTAGAGTTAACCAGCTAATCCATAATGCTGGGGGAACACAGTCGAAGGAGGGGGTGGGGGGGTGGGTCTCAGGCGGGGGGTCGCGGGCCGGACGGCCACGCGTGGAGGGGCGGGGAGCCTGCCGGGCCGGGCAGCGGCCCACCAGTCCTACTGACCCAGAGCTAGCGACCGCCCTGCCCGCCCTCGGTTGGGATAGGCCTGCTTCATACAGGACCCTCACAAACGGACTGCCGCTGGCTTTACAGCACCAAGATAAGACTCATAGACAGGGGGGTGGGGGGTGGGGGTGGGTAGGAGAGGAAGGAATAAAATGGAAGATTAAGCCACTACTTCGTCTTGTGTGTGACCTTCTGCAAACACACAGAGAAACAACAGGAAGAAAAGCTAAATATGATTTTCACCATTCAGTCCATCTTCACTATGAAATACAGTCTGTTTTCTTACTACTTTCAAACACACACACACACACACACACACACACACACACACACACCTCCAACCTCATACATGTGACACACTGTCTCAAACAAATGGATGAAATGTGTCAGAGACGTGTCGTCACTTTGTGTGTGTTTGTGTTAGAGCCTCCTCTTAAAATTAGCAGTCATACACCGAGCATGCAGCACTGCAACCGCAATCCCACCCCCGTGCTGTAAACACACCACACAAACACCCACCCCCCACCCTCCTTAACTCAATTTACCCTCCTTAACTTAATTTTCCCCTGTTTATCAAATCAAGAGGCTGGAAAATCAGCCAGTGTTTAACGAGACAGTCAATTGTGAGCTGTAATCCAGATAAAGACTGAGCAGTTAACTCTGCTTCTTCCTCTCTCCTAATGTAACCAGCAGACAGCCAGAAAAACCTGCAGCGCTGCAGAGAGCTCTGCTCGCATTCACAGCTGGTTGGAAAGTAGCAACGGCTAGGTCAGCTAACGTAGCGTTCAAAGAGTGACGCTCATGGTTCATAGCAACAGTTTAGCTGGGAGCTAAAGTTGTAGTTTCATTTAACATGAAGTAGGGCAGTGTCTCTGAACTATCTGTAGCCCTGTGTGAAAGCTGCTTCGCTGACATTGCCAAATTCTGTGGGTATAATTAATACACAATGCACTGCTGAAAGATAATGCTGGGTGGTTCATAAATACTGGAACAGAGCAACACAGACAGACAGACAGACAAACAGGAGGGGAGAGAATGATCAGATGGAGAGAATGAGGATGTGTCCCAGAAAAGACAGAGAGACAGGAAGAGGAGAGACAAAGGCAGCTATCATCTAAACTCTGAGCATGATTGCCGTAGATGACCATTACCACAGTGCCAGTGTTATGGACCGGTTAATGCCTGTAACAGGGGCCTTCGCATATAGGGACCCAGCCAGTGACCCTCACACACAGGCCGGGCCAAGCTGAGTCAGCCAAATACCAGCTACCAGTCAGCACTGCACTCAAAAGCACACACACATTTGAAATCCATCATTTCCATCTAGAAAAGTGTAGGTGACATGTTTAACCCTCAGTTGTGAAAAGTGAAAATCACAATTTTAGGTTTAAAAACGGAAGTTGAGCTACTTTTAGCTTTTATCCCCCTCACACATCTCCCATACTCACATGCTGCTGATGAATGAGTTTTCATTCCATAATAATAATGCTGTCACTGATTGAACTGAATTGTTACTATGAACCTGGAGTAAATAAAGAGCAGATCATCTCAATCAGGCAGAAACCTGAAAACACATTTTAAATTCATGTCGACGTTAATGCGAGGGATCCCTCCTCGGAGCTCACACTACACTCACAGAACAGTGAGAGCGGCAGGGAGGAGACGGGACTATCTTCTGTTGTGACTGAAGGAAAAGGTGATTAAAGTCTTGATGAAATTCTGCTGTGCATGTCTGCTCTGACTGTGAATTCAGCCTTGTCCTTCTCTTGCCCTCTTCAGCTCATCTCTCTCTCGTTGCTATGCCTCCGCTTCCCTCTGCTTACTGTTCCCTCTCTCTTTAGCTCTCTTTCCCTCTCCCTCTCTTTCTCCCTCCCTCCCTCATTAGCTGTCTTTCGTTTTTTTGTCACTCTCGCTGCCCCTTTTCCCTCCTCATTCAGCTCTCTCTCCTCACTCCCTCTCCCTCTTTCTGCTTTTCCCAATCTCCCTCGACCTCTCTCTCTCTCCCTCTTTAGCTCATGTAATCATCTAGCTCACTAGGTTCTCGACTGCAGGCCATGCTGCCACAAACAATCACATCAAACTCATCTGCTCTCAACTGGAGCAGCATTGTGCATGGCCACTATAAAAAGGACACACACACACACACACACACATACACACACATGTGCCTGCACAAATAAAAAATTGTGCACACGTAAGCATGGTGACAGAAATCTGCACGATACAGCTGCCCCTTCTATGCATGCAAGCAAACAAGAATAACATGGGAAGCTGCCCACACACACACACATATACATACATATATATATATATATATATATATATATATATACAATGTATATACAAGCAGGCCATATGATGCACACTAGCATGGAATTAACTATTTGAGCTGCACAGGAAACAGATCTACCACCTGTCAGACTTTGCTAGTCAAATGCTGAGGCCTTTGTCACAGTTGTTTGACTGAAACAGGGTGTTGTTGAGTTGTGGGGGTTAGCATCTAATCTAGGTCTAGCGTTGGCACAATACTCAACACAAGGCAGCGCTAATCCAATTGGTTGAGACTCAGATCCGTAGCGCTGATGTGGGGGCCTTGGCAATTGTGAGAAGAAATGGAGGATTAAACGCCGGTTAATTAATTACATATCGAGTGCTCGCTCCAAAAGGCTAATAAAATCCTCGCTGTGAACTTTCTGAGGCAGCGTCACACTCTGATGGATCTTGGACAACAGCACTGGAGGGGAGGCGTGGGGTCAGACACACAGATTACGATATGGAGATGCTTTCATGTGGAGGTACACAGACCAAGTGTATGTGTATCTATTCATGCCCATAAGTGCACCCACAAGTAAAGATTCACGGTGGCTCCCTCCAACACTACAAGGTAACAGCAAGCATGAATGTGAGTGGGCCCACGCACACCTCTGTGCCTTTCCCTCCTTCTGTCTTTCTTTTCTCGGATGTTTATTTGTGCTTTACTCCTGGTGTTTACTCATGCAACGCTGGAGCTTCTCCAAGCAGCCAATTAAAAAAAAAAAGAAAAAAAAAAGCAGCAGCACTAAGCACACATCATAGAAGTGGGCTGTTAGAGCTGCAGAACTGGGGCCAGAGCTAGCCAAGAAGAGGCAATTAACAGCAGAACATGACACACTCCAATGGAGAACACACTAGCATTTTGGGTAGGTGCAGAGGGAGGCGGTGTGACGGCAGCAGGAGGGTGGGGGTCGGAGGCTCGGGGATGTTGGTGGAGGGGAATTTGCAAAAACTGCAAAATTGGATTTTCCAAACCCTCTTTCTAAAGTTCCAAATTGAACTTTCCCATCGCTCCAACTGCTCCAACTGCTCCAACTGCTCCAACTTGTTGACTCAGCAGGTTCATGCAGAGGAGGGGTTCTGGCATGAGGTAGTGTGAAATTGAATATTTTGAATATTCCCGCCTGTACAGGCTGTGGTAGAGAGACACGGATAGAAATACATGGGTAGATGAAGTGAAGAGGACTGCTGCTGCTCTGATACAGCTGTGCGTGCACAGAGAAGCTGCTCCAAGCTGCAGCTGCAGCCTCCTCAGGGATAACGTGCGTACATGTGTATGTTTGCACTCACACACATGTATCTACCGTTCCGTCCGCACCATATTTTCACCTATATGTACCTGCGATCGTCTACGCTGCAGTTTCTCACCCATGTTCTTCATTAACCTGAACTTAACCCCATCTTCCAGATTCTGTTCCCCCACACTGTCATCACATTCAGCTGCAGGAGCGCAGGCACATCACTGGGAGAACCGGGGGAAGTAAACACCAGCATCAGCTCATCAATAATTAACCACTGCGTTTGGGTGGAGGGAGGCGAGGAGGAGGAGGAGGAGGTGAGGGGCGGCTGATCGTGTCTATGTCTCTTCAGTCAAAATCCTTTGTAGTTCCTGAGCACACACACACACAAACCACATCTAATGGTCTGATTTTCTTCTGTGGGTGTGGATGCTCATGCACATGTAGGCATCCACCCCAATCAGGTATTCTCACAGATCTTATCTGCCACCAAACATAATATATAAAGCTAAACGTGCAGTGCAGTGTTGCCTGTGAGACACTGTCAAGCATTTAACCTGCTTTATTTGCTACAGTTTATTTCCCAGAATAAATGTCTGACCTGTAAAACCACAAAATTATCTGTTAGACTCTAACACAGCAAGACATGCCCCACCATGCAAATACCCTGCAGCCATGACACATTAGTGACAGAGCAGCCACATTTGCCTGTTCGGTGAAATGAACTTCTGCAGAAGTGAAGACGCACATTGTGTCGGTGGAAGTGTTTTGTTTAACAGATCTTTCTGTGGGACCTCTGGGTGCTGTGAAGCTCTGGAGAAAATTTTAATTCGTAGGACTCGGCTACTGCTGGCCGTTTAAAGAGGGATTTACAGTGCAGACAGTGCAGTATAATTAGCTGTTACCCTCCACATGTGATTTGCAAAATTTAACTTCCTCTACCACAATGTACGGTTTGGAAAGGATGCAGCATTTCTACTCCTCTCTTCTCTCTCCTTTCTTCCCCTTCCTTCTACTCACTCAGAAATATGGCCTTCCCCTACTGTGACAGCTCACAGATGGCTGTGGCAGAGCCTCACAGATGGTCCTATCTGCGGCACAACCCCCATCAGCGCCACACAGATGGTTCAGTCCACCTCCAATGTTTCTAACCAGGGGGCCGTCGCTAAACCCCATCACAACTTCCTCCCAGGATGGCATTAGTACATCACAGGTAATCGGCAAAGAGGAGCGGCCACACCTGCACCATGGGACTGAACGGTGAAGGTGAATCACCTCTAAGACAAAAGGACGGAGGCTGAGGACGAGCTGTACAGGGTCTGAACGCTGAGGAGACTTAAGGAAAATGTCAGAAAGGTGCGGAGAGAGGGGGTTTCATGATCTGACGAAGATCTCTTTTAGATTATCTGTCTGTGATGATTGCAGAGTCATCTTTCACCTCAACCTCAGCTTCATTCATATCCTACATTTCCCAGTTTCCCTCAACACTTAGCAAGGGGCATGAAACTGCATTCAACAGTTACATACACATGAACATGAAGAGAGCAACGGTGTCAAACTACCAAACTAATGTTGAGTTTAAACTCCACTGTAGCTGTGTGGGAGCATGTCAGTGTAACACTGCACCAGCTGTGTCTGGCCAGTTATTGACTAAAATAAGACGAACACACAACCACACAAGTGACTCTGAAACTCGCGGTATGTCAGAAACAGCTGGTTTTTCAACCTTGCTGAACTGTTCAAGGCTGTTTTACCCCTTAAATTATGCAAGTCCTAATTTATTATCCCTTCAGGGACGGAGTGAACAAGTACTCACAGATGATGTAGTAGTCCTTCCCCCTGAAGAACTCCAGACCCCACAAGTTGGGGCTGAACTCCTGAAACTTGAGGGTGAACTTGACGTCCTGGTCAGGCTTCACACAGTTGAGGAGCGGCGTGTCGGCCTTGGTGATGGTGCAGCTCTCCAGCTGCTCCCTGGGGACCATGTACACCTTGTAATACTCCACACTGTCACCCGCCCCGCCATCCACGCGCGGGCATACAATGTCCAATTTATCCCCGATCTGGGGGTACAGCACCACGCCTTGGCCTAGCACGAATCTGAAAGGAGAGGCAGGAACAACAGGAGAGAGGGAGGAGTGTTAGTCAGCTGCAGAGAAAGGGATGAAGACTCATTCACTGTGCACTGTAAGTTGGAGTGTTTGCTGTTGAGCCTCTCTATATCTCACAAAGAGAAAAAGAGAGTCAGCTCAATTATTGCTGTGATAATTACTGATTGTGTCCATTAATTTTAGATGAAGGATAATGTGTGTATATATGTGTGTGTGACTGTGTGTGAAGAAAAACAACTCCCATTATCTGAAGATGAAATCACAGAGCTTTCTTCATTGTTGTGGCAGCGATGGAATGAGGGAAAATTTAACTGGATAAATGAACAGAGGTGACGCGGCGGATGCGAGGGAAATGGCAGAACAGTTTTAGAATACAAAATTAACAGAAAATTAACAATAAATAAAAGCCAAGATTCGTTAATTTTACAACAACAGGAACAGCAGCAGAGACACACACACACACACACACACACTCACACACACACACACACACACACACACAGCCAGAGAGCCTGGAGGGGTTTGTCTGGGAGAGTAGTTGAATTTCCCTAAATTCTTCCCAAAAGTAAAATAATGTTGCCATTTAGTCTCCGAGTGCTGAGAGCCCCTGCAGCATTCCTGTGATTGCACACGCTCTCTCACACACACTCACAGCTGGAGCTGGAGTTAGAGGTGAAACCTCGTAGCTGCTAAATGAATTTGCCCCACGCTCGAATGCAATTTGAAATGTTAACCATGGACACCCAGGAGGCTTTTTATGGCACATTGTGAAAACTGACATGAGCACAGAGACAGGGATGAACTGTAAATATTGACTAATGAAAATAATGCAAACATCTGGTCAGTATTTATGTTTAACATGTGGATCATATGCACCTGTGGTATTGTGTGGCTCTGGTGTGTGCGGATGGACCGGGTGGGGGGGGAGGCAAAAAACTGGGTTTGACCCATGTGAACTGGAGCTGAACAATAAAATGATTAGTCAATTATTCGATTGACAGAAAATGAATCTGCATCATTTTGCGGAACATTACCAAGCTGATCATTTGCTGTTTTTCTCATGTGACAGTGAAGTGAATATCTTTGAGCTTTGGACTGTTGATCAGATAAAATAAAGTATTTTACAATGTCACCTCAGACTAATGGGAATTCTAATGGCCATTTTTTCTCCACTGTGAAATTTCACAAACTAAACTGATTAAATGAAAAAAGATTAATCAACAGAAAAAGTAATCAGCAGTTGCAACCCTAGTGTGAGCTGCAGTGAATGTATTTTAGGAATTCATTGGTTCTAGTGCTGCAGTCATGACGAATGATGAATGATGAATGATGAATCTGTCAGGTTGTTTTTCAGGTTAACAGCTAATTGATATGAAATGTCACAAACTATTAAAAAATGTCTGTCACAGTTTTACTGAGTGAAAAGTTCACATAGATATTATCTATATATAGATAAAGATGTGTGATTTACAATGACATACAGGCTCAACATGTTGCTTGATTAATGACTGACATGATTAATAAATGATCAAATGAGCTATTAATGAACTTGCATAGTTTTTTCAGTTATTGTTTCAGAGTATTTCTGGCTCACCCTCCAGAAGCAAAAACTGTAAATACAAATGTCTTAAAGTGCGGGCGGGCTCTGGATCCAAGGTGAACTCTGACCCCTTTTCCTGGAAGAACGCTCAGGAGAGGAGACGTGGATTTGAAAAGCAATGAGACAGAAAACAGCACAGTCTCCTGCTCTCTCGGCGAGGACTGAACCCCAGCATCAGGCTTTTGTTTTTGTCGTTTTCTTTAAACTACAAAGACAGCCACTGCAGGGTGGCAGGGGAGCCTCCTCACAGGAGACCGGTGACAAGGCAAAGCCGATTCATAATTAACAGAGAGCAGAAAACAAAAATATAGTATTATTTTTATTGTGTGCTAAAACAAAATAAAAATATATTTATATTTTGTGCTCTCACTTCTGTTCCTCTACACGTCTGTCACATTCCCTCTTTGTCTTTCAAACGTACAGATACAGACACATATGTTATTTCTAGCGCGCATCATCGTCTTTGCTATAGGCATGAGCACATGCACACACGTACACACAGACAGACACAAACACATGCACATACAAAGCGACTAACTAGGCCGAGCAAATATTTTTTCTGCCCCCTGGGGACACACTCAGCGGTGGTACAGTGTGTCCAGTGACGGACAGACGGAGAGAGAGAGAGGGAGAGAGAGGATAGGTATGTATGCCTATGCATTGTAGCGCCATCTGGCATCATCTTATCATATGTGTGTGTGTGTGTGTGTGTGTGTGTGTGTGCGCGTGTCTGGAGGAGGAAGGGATAAGGGGGAAAAGTGGAGCACAGAGAGGAAAGGTCCTCAAGGGCTTCACTTCTATACAAAATACTGAGGAGCTGGATGTATGCATTAACCTTGTGTGTGTGTGTGTGTGTGTGTGTGTGTGTGTGTGTGTGTGTGTGTGTGTGTGTGTGTGTGTGTGTGTGGCTGGAAGCACTTGTTCATGTGTATATACAGGGGTGAAAGCATGCATTTATTCATGTGCTTATTTTAAATGACTGTGTACATGTGTGTGCCGTATCTCGTGGTGGCCATTACTGATTTAAAGAGGTTGATCTGGATGTGCTTCATTACTCTGCTTCCACAGCGACAACACAAAGATCCCTGTCCTACAGCTCTGCGTCCTTATCGTCTTGTCCCATCATGCTCTGCTCGTCAGGATCCATGTGTTGATGGCTGTATGATGCTACTGTCCTCTTAAAACAGGGGCTCACTTTACAGATTTATAAGGTATGAAAAAACAGTCAGCCTGGCTCTGTCCATGTTCAAACATATGTAATTAACATGTTTTATCTCATTTGTTTTTTACCCTAAAACCAACATTTACATTTCTATTCATGTCCAGGTACATTAGATACAGCGTGTAAATAAAACTGCTTTAGAGCCAAGCTAGCTGTCGCCCCTGCTGCCTGTCTTTATGCTATTGTGGGCTAAACATGTCCTGAATCCAGATGCAGATTTAACATACAGATTTGAGATTAATATCAGTCAATCTCACCCTCAGACAAGAAGCGTATACACCACATTCACACAGCTACAATTAGCTTTAGGATGTCAGGCCCCCGACACAATAACACATACAGACACAGGCCCACACCTACTGTACATACACATACATGCTGTACAACAGATGAATCATTTCTGATGACAGATTTTACCTCCCTGATAATACTATCAACCAGGACATCAGAACTGCTCTCATAGCATGAATGTTATCTCTGCAGGAAGTTGGCTGCTAGCAAGAGATCAAACGTGATTAAACCAACACAATGTTAATGCCACACGCACACACACCCGCACACACACACACACACACACACACAAGTGTTTTGTGTGTTTTTTAAGGTTCAGTAACATATTGATGAGATCTGCTTTAACCAGGGCCACAAAATCAGCACTAACACACAGCACTCTCTTGTATTTTATCAGCTGATTTACAGCAAAGTGCTGTATAATGAAAGCATTCAATAAAAATTAGGATGAAATTGTTTGAATGTGGGTTTAAAGATAAGCTGCCAAGAGGCTGATTAAGGTAAAATATGAACTGTTCTGGAGGAAAACACTGAAGGAATGACAGAAGTGATGAATACAGAGACTTTGTTGAGTCGGACACTCATTAATTAGTTCTGCACCTCCCTCCTGTGCTCTGTCTCCTCCCCTGCCTGTGTTTTGCAATGGGTAAATGTGTGTGTCAGATACCAGACACCTGGCTCGATGGCAGCCATTAGAACAAAACACCAAGTGCACAAGGTTACACAGAGGCTGAGACAGAGAGGAGGAGTGAAAGGAGGGAGAGAGGATGGAGGGGGCAGGAAACAAATAAAAGCTTGCCCCGGCAACTCATGATTGTAAATGCATCTGACTCCCCCCCCCCATCTCACAGACCCCCACCTTGGTTCAAGGCCCTTCACCCCACCTGTTTTCCAAAAAGTCATTAAGTGAATTTAGGGACGTGGATGTTAGATATATCTGAAAGTGAAACATTTGGGTGAAATACATGACTAGATAACAAAAGTAAGTGAAGCTGTGTTTAGTGACATGTATGTGTGTGTGTGTTGTAATCATAAACTATAGAGACCATCCTGAGATGGGATCAGCCGTGACACCTGTCAACACACCTGCCTCAAAGTCCTCAAAACCACCTACAGTAGCACGCACACACACACACACACACACACACACACACACACACACACACACACACACACGCCTCGTTGTTGCGGCTGCTAACAATGTTAAAACTATTTGGGTGTGTAGATGTGAAAATTCCTGCTGATTTCAAAGGTAATAAAAACAATCATGTGACCGTTTGACTCCACAAATGTCAGTGAGTTGACAAAGACATTATTTTGAAGCAAGAATGCTGTAAAACTTCACGTTAGTTACACTAAAAAACAGAGGTGAAGATTCATCGATCAGCTGAATAAAAATCCAGTAATCGTAAATCGTAAATCGTCAAGTCATTTATCAAACAAAAATAAATCAAATAATAAAAATATATCAGGATTGGCTGCTGTTCTCTGTTTCAGACCAGTGTAAACTAAATATCTGTGGAGTTTGATTTAATCATTAGATAAAACAAGACACGGGATGGGCATTGTTTAATTTTATAGACAATACTATTGAAGAAGACTTGAAAAAATAGATTTAAAAAAAAGAAAATGAAAAGAAAATCACAGTGAGTGGCGGGCCTGCTGTAGCACTTCTTTTCGGTCGTGTCATGCACCATTTGTTCTTCCCCATGAGGGCAACACTTGTGGAAAAGTGTAACCCTGCAGAATGTATAATCACAGGAGGTGGCAGGAGCACCAGGGAGGGCGAGGGACAGCAGGAGACAGAGACACATACATTAGCACTGCTCTTCTTCCTTTTTCTGATCACTGTTTGTCCCTCTGTCTGCCCTCCTCC